TCGTAACAGCTTTCATTCTGCTTACAATATGAAAACAAATATTCACATGTTCATCAAGAGATTGGGCGCAAAATGAGAAAACGTTCTACCATGTCGGGGTACATAAAGTGGGAAGGACCTTATCTCAACTTTATCAATATTGAACTCTCTTCCTATGTTAAAAGAGTAAACTCATCAAACTTCAAATACTGAGGGAGGTTGGGCCCAGTTAAATATTTGAAGGGCGATATTAAGGCATTATTTATAAACATTCCACACATCAAATATTTGCAAGGTTTGAATCCTCATTACGCCGGGGTATAAAGTCGTTGTGCTGGGTTGGGGTTTGTCACTTGTGACTAGGACAAGGGTATAGACACTGGCCGTGTGTCTACTGTGTGTCTACTGTGTGTCTACTGTGTCTATCTTTCTACAAGGATATGTACATGTGATGCTGGGTACTTCATTATGGATATTGTCAAGTTTGTGATTTGTGATCCACTTGATTGTAATAGTTGGTGTAAGTGATGTTTTTTGGCAGTGAAATAATTCTCTTGTTATGGTTGTTGTGTCTTCAAAAATATTGCAATTGTTATTTATATGAATATTGTTTTGTATTTGACTTATGGCTTATATTTTTAGTCCTAAATTTGTTGGTTTTGGTAGGACCTTTTTCAATGTTTTTGGTTTGTTTAAAAGCAGATGCATTTGGTCAGGATTGTATCAAGATTTAGAACCAGACAGAAATAACATTAAGTCCAAGGAAACAAGGTTTTATTTTCCGGTATTGCCTGTAGCATGTCTAGCCTAATTGGTCTGTTAGGTTATTTATGTTGTATTTTCAAGTAAGATATATCTATCATGTTGATCCTTTGCTTCTATGACATTTATCAATATAAATCTTTGAGAGATGAAATTAAATATATTGACTATAGCAATTCAAATGTTAGTTTCCGATTTTTGCAAAGTCAACTGTGCGTGAATAGAGAGAAAGGTTTGGGTTTACTTGTAACCGACCGTGCTGTTATCAGTACACAACAATGAAACATAAATCTCCGTAATAATGGCTCACTGATCAACACCTGATTTGTATCCAACTTGAAATTGATGTTGTGCTCATTGCACAAAACGGGTGATTTTGAGAACGAAAGCATGTGATATCAGCTGTAGTTAGCTTATGTCGTTGCACTGATGTATTAAGTACACCTGAATTGAACATTGCTTTTATTTCTTCTCAATGTTACAGAATTGATTTGCGTGGTGATTGTCAGGTGTTAATGCATTGGTTATGGGGGTGTTCTGTGGGCGTGAGATAAAGTCGCTAACATAGTGGCGTTTTTGTGTTCAGGCGTTTGAATGTGCCATCAGTTGATAGGAAATTTAAAGTCTGAATCATTTTTATCTGATCAATATTTGTTACACACTTTTATTTTCAGGTGTAGTCTTAATTTTATATATATTGGTTAGGTTAAAGGTGATTATTATTTGTTATTGATTTCTTGATTTTTTTGTCATTTTGTTGTGAATATGTCCAGTAAATACGAATATTAATAAGCTATTCTTTTTGCGCATACTTCCACACCAATTGGGGGTATGCTCAAAGCCGTATTATCACCCTGGTCACTGGATCATTGTGCACTCATTCTCGGCTCCCTGTCACAATTGATTGAACTATCATAGCACAGTGATATTCAGCAATATTTTGTGTATCGTATTATGAGTCATGTGTTGATACCACTGAATTTTGGTGAGAAAATGAATTCAATTTTGTGATGTCCATTTTCAAGAAATTTTCAGCAATTATTAGTTCAATTAACAGACGCAAGTTTACCAATTTTTTTGTTCCTATATAAGTATCTCCACGCACTACCTTTTTTTATGATAGAATACATCACCTGAACAGGCTTTCACGTGTCATTGATTGACTTTCCTCACAGGGTGCATATGGCATTGCAACAGAATGTATCCTTAAAAATTGCAATATGAGCCAAAATGTCAGACATAACTATTTGTTTTTTTGTGGTTCAATTGCTTTGGGTTTTTTTAATAAATGTGAATGTCAGAGGGCTCATTGAACAACAATAATCACTACACATTTTTTCGGATGTTAATATTTTGTGCATTGTGTGCCCAATTTTAAGTGGACTACTCTCAAAATCAATGATATGTACTTTGACCATATGATCAAGTAGCTAAGGCATCACTGTGAAGATATAGCAGGAATACACCTGGCTTGTTCTATTTTTCAGTCCATGGGATGCTCAGTTATTATTTAATTATTATTTCTGTGGGTCCAATGCAGAACATTGGGGTCCCAAGCTGGCAACATGTGGCACATTTCACTTGATTTCCAAAAATTATATTGATGCAATAGTCAGACACCTTCAGCTTGTTATCTGATTAAGGGGGCACGGGTGGCCCAGTCGTCTAAGGTGCTGCAATTCGCTGTGCAGATTTGCGTTCGTTGGGCTTGCCAGAAACCTATGATTGTGGGTTCGAATCCTGGTTCGCTCCGATTATGTTTCTAGGTTTGTCAGCAGTTTGTCAGCACCATACCCATGCTCGTGGGTTTCACCAAAGAGGTAAACGTCTGAGCCCTGCATCACTTGGGGCTTTCCTCCCACATTAAGCTGACACGCCGTGATATAACTGGAATACTGTTAAAAGCGGCGTTAAAGCCAACTCACTCACTCACTCACTCACTCACTCTCTCTCTCTCTCTCTCTCTCTCTCTCTCTCTCTCTCTCTCTCTCTCTCTCTCTCTCTCTCTCTCTCTCTCTCTCTCTCTCTCTCTCTCTCTCTCTCTCTCTCTCTCTCTCTCTCTCTCTCTCTCTCTCTCTCTCTCTGATCATGGTTGGGGATGGTAATAATCAAAATCTACCACTGACACTTTGAGCTTGGAGTCTAGTTCTTACCAGAATAGAATTGTCAGTTGCAATATTGATTAGTTAATGTTGAGCAAACAGCCAATCACCTTTTAAACCCCAGGACACATGATGTAAATTATTTACATCTATTTTCAATTTATATGTGTGTTGGACACAATAATTTGCATCCAGTAAAACCCTGTGACATGTCACTTTACAAGATAAACTAAATATTTGAGTAAATTTCAACTCTAAATTTTTAGTTCATTCTTTAATTTTTATTTTGTACTGTGTTACAATGATGCCATTGTATTGAATGGCTGTAGTTTTTTTAAAGGGACAATGACATTTTTTGTTTACTGAGAAGTCTTTATTCTTCACTGCCTAGAATGAGTGAGAGACAGTGGCTATCCACTAAGTCATTATTATCTCCACTATGAAACAAACATGTTGCATGTTTGTTTTGTTTGTCTGTTTGTTTTTTAACGCTGAACTCAGCAATATTTCAGATATATGATAGTGCTCGCTAAACAGTCAAATCTGAACCAGACCATCTAGTGATTGACATCATGTTCATCAATCCATGCAATTGGGATAAAATGACACGTAATCAACTAAGTCACTGAGCCTGACCAGCGTGTCCATTTAGTATAAGTTGCTGCGGACCTATATTATAACCCTGACTCCCCATGGGGTGTGTATACATAATAAATCCTTGGGTGTTGAAATGGGTAGCAGACTTGGTTGACAAGTGCTTTCTGCAATAGCTTTCATATTTGATTTATGTTTAATTTGCTTGTGAGTCAGTATTTAAACACAATATCTCAACCAACATGACCAAATGTTGATATTATAGTTTTCGGATCATTTGTCATTTTCATGATCATGATTTTCATTTGTCAAAAGTGAGGAGCTGGCAGGCTAATTTTATTTTTCTTCAAGAATAGTTTTTTGAAATCTGATATCTGTGAAACATTTGATAAAAGCAGCAAACAAAACAAAAACTATTACAGACAGCCTTGGGGCATATGGCGTGTACTTATTTCAGCAGCGGCTATGGTGATCAGCTCGTGCCATGGATAAAGAGTGTCTACATTAAGCTGTTGCTTTCTAAGTCATTGAACAAGTTTTGACAGCTAATAGTCAATATGCCAAATAGCCAGTGTCACCTGATAGGCCAAGCATTGCAATGGTGTTTGTCTATTACCTGGTCAATAACTCAGTCCATGCCATTGCAATATGTCCTACACACACGAGGACAAAGCAGATACTTGTGATCAACCATCTATCAAACACTACCTACATCATTGTACATGCAGCAGCCATTCTGTATTCCCATTTGCCCATAATGTAAAATATATGTTCTCCTGAAAAACAAGGCTTCCACACAGTAGGAAATTCTCATGTGCAGAATATGGAACCTCAAAGACCTTTGAGGATGAAAATGCACAGTTGTCTGATCATACTTTACAAGAACACTCATTATCAATACTCTTTTGTTTCAGGACAATTATATCCAATGCGGGATTATTTCAAAATAGAAAAACAATCAACAAGAAAAGCATATATATACTGATTAAACAAAGTTAGGGATGGGTCATGGATATTTTTTTTGGTCTTTTTTGTGAAATTGCATTGTGTGCTCAGTCTTCACTTGGAAGAAATATCCTTCCAAAAAATGGTTATGATCCTTAACTTATTTTATTCAGTATATATAAACTGGAACATTCAGTCTTTTCTGGAACCATTACCCTGGGGTGTAAGAGGCATGGACAAATTTTAAGAAATCAAAATGTAATGTGCGTGCTGGACATTGCTTCTTTGTTCTGAGGAGGAGGGTAGTGGGGTAGCCTATTAGAGAATGCATCCAGTGGGAATTCAGGGTGAGAACTGGTCAACCTACGCTTGTGGTACGAGGCACGTAATGAATGGGGTTGTGATGCTTGGTGACATGGTTGATAGTGTGTCTGTATGCCCCAATGGTGTGGATTGTTGCTCATAATAATCAATCACTGGTTTGTCTAGTCCAGATTTCATTATTGCCGACTCCTGGAATGTTGCTAAGTACAGTGTTGGATGACAAACTTGGATAAGGCATCTGCTTGTCATGTTAAAAAGACAGGTTATAATCCCCCCTGTTTTCCTGTATTGTAGTGATGAGCTGGCTGAACAGTTTGCTCGACTGGACAACAGGGGAGATGAGGCCCACGAGAAGAAAGGCGAACGAGAAGCAGGTCCTGGGGAAGCAGTGGGTGCTCGATGTAGGCTCGGTAGGCATAGATTCCTTCCCAGAGAGGAAGAATTTTTACTCATAATTAAATGGTTGAAGCCGAAGCATCTGTAATGGCAGTTTAACTTTTAAGCAAAATAAAGATAAACTACTCAACATCTGCAAAGAACTAAACTATTCATCTTTAGTCAAAGGTGTGGTCTTTATCAAATGTTGAGTATAATTCTACGGTGACTCGGCCACAGAATTCATGCTTGCATCCATTATCTATCTGTTAGAAGGTTTGAGAATGATCTCACATTTTGGTCTGCTAATTGCAGCCGTGAGGTCAATTGAGGTGATATTTTTGTCACTGTTATCTTGCTATCATAAAGTAGGAAAAGGCTCATGGTCATATATGGAAAGATTTATTTGAAAATATGAGCCCTGTGTAATTCACTGTTTCTTGACTTCTGTTTGAAATTAAAACTTCAATTCAAGTTCAGTATCACATCCTTGTGTGGCCCTATTGATACGATCGCTATAAAACTTCAGAGCAAAGTGACATAATAGTCTGTATTTGATAATGTACTACAGATACAATACAGTTCTTTGTTCCCATTGCAGATTTCAACAATGCCACGACCACCCAGCTAAAGGGAGCTGACATACGCAGACACTCCATCAGTGATACATCTGACCTTGACCCACAGAGAGACCCGGCAGGCTTGAGACGACAGACCCACAGACCGATGCATGAACCTTACAACCACCCTGTTTCTACCAACCCCGTGTCTAGCAACCCAGTGCTGCCCCCAGCCCCAATCTACAGTGATGGCCTCCCTGTTTACTCCCATGTGTATGAAGCACAGCCGGGTCCTGCCTCCAACCTGCCATTCTGGCGCTACATGAGCTCTTCCTCCCCGGTTCTGTACCAGTCCCACGATCAGCTTCCACCCAGAGTTGTCCGTTCCCTTCCAGTGTCTGTTCCCTTCCAGCCTCACTTAAGTCATCACCGAGGGTTCTCGTCCCCCCTTGAGAAGACCATCACACCTGATAAGACAACCATGTCTTCCAGTAATGAATCTGGATTTGTATCAACAGAAGAGAAAGATTTAAGCCATCAAAGTGCCAGGTTTCCACGTCCACATGCCCTACATTCGTCTGCAACCAGCGATCTTGGGGCTTCCATGACCAACAGATTTCCAGCTACTTCAGAGTTCCAGCCGATGTACATGAGTTTTGGAGGTCATGATGGCCACCATGGACTGCACACGAATGTGCCAGTGCAGCCACCTACTGCTACTTACTCAACTCAAGTCAAGATGCGTTTGTCTACCGAGTTGGAGGCACAGAGGCTGCTCAGTGAGAAGGTAAAACCTTTGTCAATGTTGTCTTTTTGCTTAAAATGTTTTGAGTGACCTCCATTCAGTACAAGGTCACTGGAACGTCTTTCAGAGTGAACTGAGTATGGTTTCATTTCATGATTGGAAAATGGATACGAACTGGTCATATGCCAGTCACTGCATCCTAGGTCACTGGAACCTGCGTTTTTTTAAATTTGAATATGAAAATAGGCCATACTTCACTCATGGCATTCAGAGTAATTTACTTAATATGACATTTCCTTGTCAACATGATGCATGAGGCTAACCCATACTACGACCTTTACACACCCCATTAGTCACTGGCATTATTTTATTGGATCGGTGGTCATGCTTACTCATGTGGTTGACAGATTCATGTTGTACCACAAAGTGGTACTGGATTCTGGATCACTGAATTGTCTGGTCCAGACTCGATTCTTTACAGGCTGCAGTCATGTGGTTAGAGTATTGCTGGTTGGGGCATTGGGCAACAAACAAATACTTACTTTTTCATGAAAATTGTGAGTGGCGGGTGTTACCGGAAGCAGGACATGCTTACGTTGTTCAGCAAACACCTGGTGGCATCACCTCGTTTCGGTGATCCATCCGTATAATTTTCATCACTAGTTTGTCTTTTACATCCAGTGGAATCCGTTTTGGCAGATCATCAACATTATTCTCTGGCATTGACATTTTTTAATTGAATACACACCAGGAATAGCATTTTGAGCAATGCTTCCATCATGGCCATGGGGATGTATTTTTTACTTGCATCAAAGGTTATGTTCAGTCAATAAGCTTTTTACAAACAAGTATTTGTTGTAAATGTTTTAAGAAGGTACATCATATTGTGGTATTGAACTAAAATGGTTTTGAGTAACCTCTGTAATGTCAAGGTCATTGGTAAAGAAGGTGCACCTGTATGAAGTCTTTGCATGATGTCTTTGCATGATGTCTTTTTCTGAAATCAGTTGTATGCATAATATATGTTTTGTCATCAGATGGATATGTTTTTATTGGTGCTAAATAGTCAACTGCTTGATATTTTATTGGAAACTTAGAATTGATTGATTGTATGAAAGTGTATCTAAGGAATGCCCTCATGTTGAAGTCAACATTGATTCTAAACTGCCACTGTGGGAGGAAGTGTGTATACTTGTTGGTCTGAAGATTGGTTAGATGGTTGGTTTGTTTTTTTACGTTGCACTCAGCAATATTCCAGCTGTATGACGGTGGTCCGTAAATAATCGAGTCTGGACCAGACAATCCAGTGATTGATATCATAAGCATCAATCCACGCAATTGGGATCAATGACTTACATCAACCAAGTCAGCAAGTCTGACCACCCGTTCCCGTTAGTCGTCTTTTATGACAAGCATAGTCTCCTTTTAAGGCAAGCATGGGTTGCTGAAGACCAATTCTACCCCGGATCTTCACGGGTCGGTCTGAAGATTGGGTTGGTAAATTTCAAGGATGTCACGCTCTTCACTTTTCTCCTTTGTACATGTTGTATGAGTTGTAAATTGTTATCTGTAAAAATTAGAATTATCTGAATATGAAGATTAAGTTCTTTTATTCCAGCTGAGAGAATATCCAAAAGTTAGAATTATCAGTACAGTGTTTGTGACGGGTGCCACTGGTGGGGTACGATACGCTAATGTTCTCGCGAACACCTGACATCATCAATGTTTTATAGTGATTCATAAACGCATGCTTACGATATAATCAGAATCATACAATGCACTTTTAGTAGATATCTAATGATTACGGAAATGTTTTTGTTGCTTTTATTTATTATTATTGTTCCAGATGAGAGAAACCCTGAAAACCAGACATCTCTGAATGGTGTTTGGGTTGTTTTTTTCAGCAGAGCACAAACTAAAAAGTAGAATTATCAAAACATGAAAAGTAAATTTGTTCCTTGCAGCTGAGAGAAAGTCTGACTCTGGCCGAGTGTAAACTGAAGACCATCCAGCTTCACAGTCAGCAGAGAGAGGCTGAGGCCAGGATACAGATGACGGAAAAGGCTGCAGGTACTGTGCACGAGGCTTCGTGACAAGGAGCGCTTACATGACTTCATTAGATCAAGAGATAGGTCGTCATTGAGGGCAACTGAAGGGCTTCCAGACATTAGTTTCCTGTGACATGATTATGTCACGGTGAATTGCCTCCTGGTACGAATCATTTCTGTTGAAGTGTATGAAACTGAAATATTTCTTACGGGGCTGCCTGGAGTTATTTGTTCCAGTAAATTCTGGAAAAATAATCCATAGGACATGCAGGATGTTCTGAAAAATAAATATGTGAGTAAGAACCCTGAGTCTTGAAGCACCGACTGAAGATTTTTTTTTCTAAAACCAAAAAAAACCACATGTTTATCTCCTAATTAGAGATTTGGTCACGCCCTTACTTACCATCAAATGGAACCCTTTATTATCATTTGAATATTAGAGCAATTCCTTCATACACTTCAAACATGAATAGCTCCTTTTATCCTAATGAAACAGAAACAATGACAACTGATGTCTCTTTTTTATCTCTTCATCCTGTTTTCAAGGTGAAATTAACGTAAGGACTATTATGTTGTTAGAGGATAATTGTCAAAGATAGTTTTCTTGTGAACATTGGTAGACAAAGACAGGGCAGATTCCTTTAAGCCATAACATTCCCTGTGTCCAACCTATAAAAACAAGGGAAATTATTTAGCCCTGGGACAACTTAATTTTCTTTCTCCTAAAAACTGTAAAAGCTAAAAACATTTTATCATTTCCCTAGCGTAAATGACTGAGAAATCCCATCAAAAGTTCACCAGGAATGCCAAAGCAGCATAAATATCAGTGTTACGCCTATATGGCTCAGAGCTATAACCGTTAACTGGACTAATATTGACATACAGAGCATCATGATTCATATGGATTATGGCAGCACAGTGAATTTATAGCAATCTAGATGCACATTATAGCCAGGTGGAACCCCATAGGCTCGGATCTTGAAAGCTCGTTTATTGCGCTACCTGTAATCCATTTCCCTCGTCAATTTTAAAGGTGTGTTTGCTGTGATATTCATCAAAATATAAAGTCATTTATACCTGTCCTGGTGAATAGCTAGAGAGGATGGCATAAAAATTGCACTGTGATCACTTGTGCAGGCGGACAGACATGTAGTACAAGCCGTCATTGCCGATGTTGCAAGTGGAATTTGATTGCGTCCACAAAATTTTGTAAATAGATTTGACCTGTGGCAACCAAAGTGCAGTTTAAAAAATCAATAATGAAAGACATTTTAGATCCCATCACAAGTGAAGACTCAATGATGTCATGGTGTGGTAATATTTGTATGGTCAGTTTCTGTTTGTGATAGTATGTAACATGCTGCATATATAAATGGCCTCCACCCTCCCATGTGACATTTCTGCAATATTGCTAAAGCAGTGTCATCGATTTCATTGCTGGGACTTGAAATATAAAACCACAATGCCAGAGAATAACCAGTCTTGATGATCCAATGGAACAGATTCCGTTGGGCGTAAAAGGCAACATAGCAGTGAAAATAATGTGAATGGATCACTGAAAATTAGTGATGACACCAGGTGTTTGCGAAAAGGGTCATCATGTCCTGCACTATAGTCTGGAAGGTAATTTAAGGTACTGACGTTTACTACAATATCTGAAAAACTATTGGACCTACTCCAGTCAAAGTTGGTATGAGATTATTAAACAGTCATACATAACTGGATATTACATTTTAAGACAATCGATGCATGAATAAAAAATCTGTCTGTTTGGCTATCACTATATTTCATCAACAACCAGACCTGTTTGTCACGGGTGGAACGAGCATTCATTGAAACAGCCATCTGCATAATGCTACCCCTGCGTCACAGGGCCATATGACACAGTTGAACTAATCAACTCAACTCGAAAGGGTGCCCAACGCTAACACCGTATTCGTGCGTGCGTGATTCCCTGCACCCTTTCGAGTTGACATTCTTTTAAATTTTACATTAAAAGAATCAGATTAGAGCAAATCAACACCAGCAAATAAATGGTATAAGACTCATTTCTATTTGTTTTTAATGCCGGAGGGATCTTGTTTTTGTTGTTGGAATGATCAATACAGAGATTCAGTGTGAATATCTAGTAACTCTATTATCAGTTAAAACAGTAAAGTCTAGTCTCTAGCCGTGGCAAAAACAATCCATCTCGGACAAAGCAATTGAGAGTCGTTTTACCCCACTTTTAGAATTATTCCAATTATATCATGGTGGGGTCACCAGTAATGGACTTCACAAATTATCTTATCTCACACATGAGTGTCAGATTCTGATTGGCTGAGACCTATTCTGTTATTTTGAATGTACCCGCTAACATGTAGGGCTCATTTCTTATGTTCCATGTTCGACTGACTGAAACTTTTGGTATGAATTCGTTGTCCACTGGTACTTTGGGAGACATGGGTTGATGTACCTCCTATGTTAGGTTATGTCACATGGCAAACTAACATAGAGGGTACGTTAACCCCATGTCCCCTCAAGACTGGTGGACGACTTATATCATATGGGAGGAATCAAGCCTGAGCCTTCTATGTGACAAGCCGTGTAACCACTTGGTTTCCCATCTTCCTGAGGCAAGGGAGTTAACTGACTAAAAATCCACTTTCCACCCTTGCCAAATAGACTGGAATTTCTGTGCTCGATCGTAGCGTCAGTGGCTAGAAATAGTAATGTCCCTTCTATGTCCCTCCTATTGAGCATTCAGATTCCACCTCTCATATCACTTGCATTTTCTTCAACAAAATTGCGACGCACAGCTGATCTGATCGATGATCAAGATATATATTGTAATAAAACATGTCTTACCTAGGGAAATGCATCAAATCACATGAGCACCTTGATTAAAAACATGAAAGGATTTGGAAAATATCTGTCGATGCCCAGTTGACAGTTCACATCTTTTCCAAAACCTGCATTCGACTGAAATCTGCATGTTGACATCCATGTTGTTTTCGAACTGGATGTCGATGATTTAATTACGAGATTTTGATTGGACTATGCATCATGATGCATAGATTCGTTAGTCCAGCCAAAATATAACTCCATAATTCCAGCCAAGTTCAGCAGGGGTTGAAACTGGACTTTTACCATCAGTTAACTCCCTTGCCTCGGGGAGATGGAGGCTTCCCAACTTCTTTGAAGTTACAAATGGCATCCTATCAATTATATCAGTGAGGTCATGAAGACTGAGTAATGACATGCTTTCATTAAACGAGGGGGCACGGGTGGCCTCGTCAGCTAATGCAATTTGCTGTGCAGAGTTGTATCCCTTGGGCACGCCAGAAACCTATGATTGTGGGTTCGAATCCTGGTTCGCGCCGATTGATTCTAGGTTGGTCAGCTCCATACCCTTGTTCATGGGTTTCACCAGAGACCTGCATCACTTGGGGCTTTCCTCCCACATTAAGCTCACACACCGCGATATAACTGGAATACTGTTAAAAGCGTCGTTAACCCCACCCTACTCACTCACTCGTTTTAACAAATTATCGTAAGAACTAATTATCTCAATTGTCAAAACATTATTATTATTTTTTCAGTGGTTGGTTTACAGAAACAATGTCCCTAATATCACATTTTGGTGGTTACTATGTGTAATTAATATTTAGAGGTTTAAAGCTGTACCCAATGAACTCATTTAGATATGTTTATAAAGGAAAGGCATTATAAAAGAAAAGTTATTTTTAATTTGGAAGTTATCATTCATTTATGTGAACGGCCATTGGGATTCAGCTAGCATTTAGTGATGTTTATGCTCACAAGGAAATGAAAACATTCATTATTCTCCCCAACCTAACAACACAGAGATCCCTACTCATTCTATCAGATTGATGAGGGAAGGTAATTGATGAAAGTCAGGTTTGTTTGCATGACAGTAATGTTTTTATATCTTGACATCAGCACTAATAAACTTCCATTTATTTGGCCCTGACTTCACCAAATAGGGAAAGCCGTTTTATCAAGTTGATATATTGCTGCCATTGTCTAGACTAGTGCCAATATGAATATTCATTTTGCTGAAAACAGCTCCCAAAATGGTTTGTGTAAATACTATTTTGTGTTATTGCATTTGAAATGTTACTTGTCTTTTTCATACACAAATAGGGGCGGTCAGGCAGCCTAGTGGTTAAAGCGTTCCCTCATCACGCAGAAGACCCATGTTCGAATCCCAACATGGGTACAATGTGTGAAGCCCATTTCTGCTGTCCCCCGCCGTGATATTGCTGGAATATTGCTAAAAGAGGAGTAAAACTCACTCACTCACTCACTCACTCACTCACTAATTGAAGCCCATTTCTGGTGTCCCCCGACGTGATGTTGCTGGAATATCGCTAAAAGAGGAGTAAAACTCACTCACTCACTCACTCACTCACTCACTCACTCACTCACTCACTCACTGAAACCCATTTCTGGTGTCTCCTGCCGTGATGTTGCTGGAATATTGCTAAAAGAGGAGTAAAACTCACTCACTCACTCACTCACTCACTCACTCACTCACTCACTCATACACAAATACATATTTTCAGATTTGGTGTCCTAACTAGACTTGCAAGAAACATTCTAATGTAGGAGTTTAGGAAATAATGTGATTGGTCTGAAACTGTACCTAATATGTTTACTGATAGTTCTGTTACATTGAGAATATTGAAAAGATTTCCTGAAGAAAGTCTCACATTTCGGAGTATAGAATCATTGGTGTTTACAAGTAATTTGAGGCAATACAAGGTTCCATTGATAGTACCATAATACTATGTCTGAAGTCGTTTATTGCACATGGTCCCTTGTGTGGATTCTGTGTTGGAATAAGCCCCAACAAACCATGGTGGTCATAAGAGGTGACAAAATCAGGTGGTCAGGCTAAGTGGTTCGGTTGATTGCATGTCATCTTACCCTGATGAAGTAAGACCGCCTCCGTGGTCCAGTGGTAGAGAGTCCGCCTGGAGAGCGGAAGGTCCGGGGTTCGATCCCCGGCCGCGTCATACCAAAAGATGTTAAATGATGGTACTTGTTGTTACCCTGTCTGGTGCTCAGCGTTAAGGGGCTAAAACAAGGACTGGTTGGCTCGGAGTCAGTATACTGTGTGTGAGTGGGGTATTCATGTTAAACTGCGTCATGGTATCTCAGTGAGCTAGCACTATAAATCGGCATCAGTATGGATTAGTACAAGCAGCCACACAAACACACACACATACATGCACGTCGCTATGTAAGTGCAATAATCTTGGACACGACGTTAAACCCCATTTCACCTCACCTCACCTGATGAAGTAGATCGTTGTTCACATTATCAATCACTGGAATCTTGTCCAGACTCGATTATTTACAAACATGCATCATGCAGCTGGAATATTGCTGAGTGTGGTGTTAAATTGTTCAAAATATTAAAATGAAAACTTCAAACCGAAGAGATACAAGCACACATGCTCGCATATGATACCTCATGCTAAGAAGAAGAGAACAGTCACAGCACTGTTGCAACAGTGAATAATATGGGAGGAATAATGATAAAATGATAATATAAAACTTTGATTATTCACCAAAACAGATTCCATTGGGCATTAATAGCAAAATAGCAGTGAAAATTATGTGATGGCTTGCTGAAATAAAACTGTTAAGGGAATTAGTGCCAGAACAATGAATACATCTTTCTGGCATTGAGTGAGTGAGTTGGGTTTAACGCCACTTATAACAGTATTCCAGTTGTATCACAGCATGTCATCTTAATGTGGAGGGGCGGTCGGGTAGCCTAGTGGTTAAAGCGTTCGCTCGTCACGCCGAAGACCCGGGTTCGATTCCCGACATGGGTACAATGTGTGAAGCCCATTTCTGGTGACCCCCGCCGTGATATTGCTGGAATATTGTTAAAAGAGGTGTAAAACCATGCTCACTCACTCATTCTTAATGTGGAAGGAGGACAGCCTAAAGTGATGCAGGGCTCAGACGTTTACCTCTTTGGTGAAACAAACCTAGAAACATAGTCAGGGCAAACCAGGATTCGAACCCACAATCATAGGTTTCTGGCATGCCCAAGGAACGCAACTCTGCACAGCAAATCGTGGTGTCTTGGACGACCGTGCCCCCATTCTGGCATTGAATGTATACACTGCCAAATACACCATGTGGGCATTCCAGGACAGAAGAGTATCCAAGTGATGTTTCCATGTCGTTTAAGAGTTAGCTAAAAAGAGAATCTGTAGTCAAAATGTGTGATCAGGCTGATTGTGTGTCATGGTACCCTGACAATGTGGATCGTTGCTCGTGATATCTAGCACTGGTTTGCTTGTTTTAGTACAGGCTACAGTGATTAAGCTGTAAGCTGTTACCAGAGTAAAGCAATAAGATTGAAACAGCTCCCTCCACCCGCCAACCAACTTTCTGCAAAATTTACACAAAAAAGTGAAAACAAATTGTGAAATAAGTAGATGGTTGGTATTGGCGACTTACAAAATATACAATATTAGGTCTATGTGTTGTTGAACTGGTCACTATACTGTGTACCTATTGGTGTTCCAGAGCTGGTGAAACAGTTCCGTAAAGCTCATAGGCATGGGGAGGACACAATCCTGGAACAGATGAGGCCTGCCGACCAGACTGACGAGGATGTTCATAGCTCTTTGTACTTTGATGCCAGTGTGTATGACAGGTCAGTTTTTATGTTTTGCTTGTATCAACCAAATGTTCACCTTATCTGTCATTATGGGCTTACAATGGATCTGATACATCTCACTTAAAACTACAGGGTATGAAGCTATTCTTTGACAAAACTGAATGGTTTAGTTTTCAACTAATCCTAGAATTCTTCCAATATGTTTAAAAGATATTTCATTTTGAAATGTTCTATGTTGTTTGGTAATCGAGATTATTATACAAGCATGTGTGTCACACTGAGTGAGTGCAATGGTAATACATGAATTCTAACACAATTTTCGTTAAATCAGTGTGAGTGTAATAATTTCTTTATGACCCATTATTTCTGAACCCTTTTGAGCTCCCGTTTAGAAAATCACCACCGCTGTCCTAGAAAACCATACTTTATCGAATGATGTCAACAATCTTCAGCTATGACATCATTTCTAGTGTGACATCATTCTGACCTAACCGCCTCCGTGGTCTAGTGGTAGAGCGTCCGCCCGTAGAGGGGAAGGTCTGGGGTTCGATCCCCGGCCGTGTCATACCAAAAGACGTTAAAAGATGGTATTTGTTGTTACCCTGTCTGGCGCTCGGCATTAAGGGGCTAAAACAAGGACTGGTCGGCTCGGAGTCAGTATACTGAGTGGGGTATTCATGTTAAACTGCGTCATGGTATCTCAGTGAGCTAGCACTATAAATCGGCATCAGTCCGGACTAGTACAAGCAGCCACACACACACACGTGCATGCATGCACGTTGCTATATAAGTGCATTAATCTTGGACGCGACGTTAAAACCAATTTCACCTCACCTCACCTCATTCTGACCTTTTGTAACTTTAAGATTTGAATAATGTCAACAATGCCATCTGAATAATTGAAACAAAATACTGGTGCATGAGAAGTGATATATGCACTCGTGCACATGCGATTTTTATGGACTCGGTTATTTCTAACCCTATGAGTAATTAGCAGTGAATGATTTGCGTGTCTTGTACTCAACATTAAGGGAATAAAACAATGGCTAGTCGGTTCAGTATGATGTATCTGAGTAGGGTAACAATGTTAAACTATGGCATGATATCTAAGTGGGCTAGCACCATAAAAGCGGCATAAGTCTGGATCAGTACACTAGCGTTTACACCCGTCCATGCATGCATGTTGCTACATAAGTGGAATAATGAAATAATCTTGAACACAGTGTTAACCGCATTTCACACCACCTCACTCACTCACTCATGAGGCCCATTTCTGGTGTTCCCCACCGTGATATTGCTGGAATATTGCTAAAAGAGGAGTAAAACTCACTCACTCACTCACTCACTCACTCACTCACTCACTCACTATCAATGATAGATAAACTCACCTAATATTCAGCTATTTTAAGTCATCCTCACTGTATGTGATCTTGTGTGACAGATCAGAGGCCACTAGTGAGCAGTCTGCGGAGTCAGATGAAAGTGACCAAGATTTCAACTTCTTGCAGGTAGGGAATCCTCGACTCGCCATTACTATGTTTCTTGGATGTCAGCACCATGCATGCAGGATGTCAGTCGATGTTGGATTTGACAGAGTGGTAAATGTCTAAGACCTGCATCACTTTGGGCTTTCCTTCCACATCTTGCTGACACATAAATGAAGTACTGAAATACAATACACTCCCTCCAGCAGCTTAGCATCACAAACACAATAGATAAGTAACTTAAAAAAACACTTCACAGTATGTTTGGATCCACACATTTACATGAACAATATCTTTAATTGTTATGGCTTTATTATATCTTTATCTACAAGACTGTAATGTTATTTTGAATTATATGCTTTTAATGTGAACTCTGTGAGAACTCACCACGACTGGATTGTGATCTGCTGTTGTTTAATGCAGATGGAAGCATCCTTGTGTGTAAGTATGCTCATGCTATTAAACCTTGGTTTGTCTAATCCAAGTTTAATGGTTTCCTGTTGCTTTGAAATAGCTGTAATGCTGATTATGACGGTGTTTCAAAATGGATATCATCCTACTGACCTTATAATATGAACCTGATATTTCTGACCATGCGGGGCGGTCGGGTAGCCTAGTGGTTAAAGCAGTCACTCGTCATGCCGAAGACCCGGGTTCGATTCCAGATTCTGTTATATTACTGGAATATTGTTAAAAGCGGCGTAAAACCTCATTCACTCACTGAAACAGTCCAGTCATGTTGACATGCGATGGGTTCTATGTCATGTGTATTCAAATCAAACTGAAGTTCTGATATGTTATCAAGCCCACTCTTTTCTTTGTCACTCCCGGGGCACAGGTGGCACAGTCGTCTAAGGTGTCGCGATTCGCTGTGGGCATGCCAGAAACCTGTGCTTGTGTTTTGAATCCCAGTTCACCCCGATTATGTTTCTAGGTTTGTCAGCACCATACCCGTGCTCGTGGGTTTCACCAAAATGGTAAACGTCTCACATCTGCATCACTTTGGGGTTTCCTCCCACATTAAGCTGACACGCCGTGATATAACTGGAATACTGTTAAAAGCGGTGTTAAACCCAACTCACTCACTCACTTTTTCACTCCCCCTGAGATGGTATCATGTTAAGGCAGTGCAGAGGGGTAGCTGACTGGGTAAAGTGTTGACTTGGAATGCCAAAGAACTGAGTTCAATTCCTTACATTGTTGCAATATGTGAAGCACATCCTTCTTGTGCCATGACATGATCTAGCTTGGGGACTACACCAAAGATGCTGAGGACCACCTGATTCTTTCATATTACTACAAGGGGCGGTCGGGTAGCCTAGTGGTTAAAGCGTTCGCTCGTCACACCGATGACCTGGGTTCGATTCCTGACATGGGTACAATGTGTGAAGCCCATTTCTGATGTCCCCCGCCGTGATATTGCTTGAATATTGCTAAAAGCGGCGTAAAACCATATTCACTCACTCACTCATATTACTACAGCTAATCTGTCATGGCATCTGTCTGGGGGGTCCTTGATTTCTTTTAAGTAGTATTTAATGCCACAAATAATATAAAAGACAACTCATTCACTTATGTTATAAGCATTCAGTGGTATTTGGAATTTGTGTTTGAGGTAAACATGTTGAGCATACATACATGTATACTTGAGGGAGAGAATGTTGGAATGTTGTTTGCGTGATGGTAAAAACATCTTAAACTTCAAGTTGAAATCACCACTTGTTACTTTTTTAGAGTGCTCTTTTGAATGTGATTACTTTTCAAAACCAGTAGACTATGCTTATGTTGGGACATATTCAATTGAAATTTGATATTTTTCAAATATTTTTAATTTTTGCCAGCTCAAGGATATTTGCATTCACTCTCTTTGAGAATGATATCTGATGTAATAGTTGTCTTCAAATGTATTGACTTGAAGCACTTACCACAGGAGATATAGGATTGGCACATCTTCAGATTTGTGAGAAGTATAAGCCATTAGCATTTCTAAAGAAAAATTAATGCACTTTGTAAAGAAAAATGTGAATATTTGGAGGAGGAATAGCACGATAAGGGTCATAAAGCAACTTACTATTGTGACTGTTTAATGTAATCACATAGTGGACTCAGTTAGGTTCTATGTGGTTGCTCTTGGTGAACAATACATACAATTTCATCCATATTGAGTGAAATTTGGTCACGGTAAAATCAGAATAGAATGTGATCTATCTATGTCATCAAACTAGTCGAAGCATCTCAAAAAGAATAAGAAACACTCAAAGCAAAAACTATCACTGTAAAAGTGACACTAAGATCTGGTTTTGACTATAGAAAGAGGAGATATCTTGAAATACCAAGCAGCCCATCGAAACTAAAGATGGCTGTGAGTCTCACCAATGTGTCTGTGTGTGTCGGCCGATCCGGGGGTTGATAATGTTCCTGTCCTCCTTGCTTTTGAAGCAGTGACCAATGTTGATGTAAAATAAGCTATTTTCATTTCTCATTTGCATCCAGGTAAACATTTCAATCTTCTATCAGAGAGAATTTGAAGATTTAAGGGACTTATCCTTCATGATAGTGAGAGCTTTCTGTCATTGTAAGAGAAATTGAAACTGACTGGAGTTGAGAGCGACTTAAGAAATCTCAATCTGTCTGGGACATGAGCTTTTGAAAAGAAAATCAGTGAAAGAAGTTTGAATAAAAAGGCAGTGTCTCGCTAGCAGAGAAAAACTGGGAGTCGGTGACTAATGAGAGGCATAATGGACAGCCATATAGATCAAGTCAGCTGAGCTGGAAATAAATGAATGTTTACTCTCTTAATTCTGCTGGCGTGGAAAGAAAGCAAACATCTCTACCTCTGGCATTGAGACTTCATTTCCACTCGTGGTCAGTTTCCCCTAGACCACTCTACCTCGGGAAGTCCAGCAGCACTTGGGCAAATATTGGAGGGTCGTCGCCTCTTTGTAGCGCCCATTTTGGCTCCGGAAAGAGGCTCCTTCGGCCTCCGTCATTTTGCCACCGAATCAACACATTTAATTGGTAGGAACATAGAGTTTCGCACCGACCTCTGACCCTTTTACTCACGCAGTGGAAATAGGGTTGTGCGACAGTGACAGACATCTCTGTTTACTCTGTCAAATCATTCCGCTCAAACTGATTTGACTGACCCTTCTCAAGTTGAATTAATCCAAGAGTCCAGTCCAAACCGATGAGGGTCTTCTATGGCCCGTCAAAGCTGTCCGTCTCTCTGCCCAAATTAAAGTACTGATGGATTGTTTGTTGAAATCATCATGTCTACGACGACTGACACCCAGAGAGAAAGTATAAAATCTCAACAACCTCCACTTAATTGTAGAATATTAATGAGTAAACATACGCACAATGGGCATATTTGGGTCAGCCTTTGTAACACGGACATCTGAAAATGATCAAGTTGGTGGTGAATACATTTGAAGCAGAACAGTTTGAATGACAGGCTGGGTTTAATTTTGGAAGCAGATAATAAAAGTAAATTTATCTCTTGTGTGGATGAATATCATTTGCAACAACTCCGTTTTGATAATAAGGCATATGCTTTTGAAAACATTTTCCTTGTGGATTATTATGGGACCCCATATTTGTTACAAACTGTTTATGTACCACTCAACCTTTGATAAAGGTACTGAAATACTTGACACTGTTACATCTACATGTTATTAGTGTTGACATAAGTGGGGTGAATCAAGAAATGATAAAACATATCCCTTAAGTGGTATAGTAAGTAATGATAGCTTGAGGTAGTTCTGTTTGAAGATTGAAGTTTGTCAGAGTGTTATTAAACAGTATTTGTTTCCTACCTAGAATTGTTGCCAAGCATTTGCATCTCATGACCATTGCTGCTGACTCACAACCTACGTACACATGTTTTCAATCCTTGTTAAATACTAGTATAATCAAGATTGATGGATGAAACTATGAGATGCAAAAAAATATTGGCTGTTATTTGAAGTGCATATAAAATACACATGGCAGTCAGTTTCATATGGTTCTGTAATGGGTCTGGACAGGCCCATGAAGGATGGACTTTGTATCTGTGCCTTTGCCAGTTGAATGATAGTGACATCTTGATGTTGGTGGAGGCATTAGACTGTGTGATGTTATAGTTTGTTTGTTTGATTGTTGTTTAATGCCGCACTCAACAATATTCCAGCTATATGATGGCGGTCTGTATAAATAATCGAGTCTGGACTAGACAATCCATTGATTGACATAATGAGCATCGATTCATGCAATTGACATCGATGACATGCATCAACCAAGTCAGCAATCCTGACCACCCGATCCCATTTGTCGCCTCTTACGACAAGCATGGGTTGCTGAAGACCTGTTTTGCCCTGGATCTTGGGTCGTGATGTTATAGTGTGTGATGCAACACATATTATGTAATCATGGGAGCTGAACCAAGTCATAAACAAATTCTATAAACATTTCAACCACTAGTAAATAGTCTTTAAGGTTCATTGTCATGTATGAATATCTCCTTTGACATGACTGATGTTTGTGGATACTTGATGAAATGTTATATGCATATTTTGGAACTGAGCATCTCAATGCCCCTCTATTTCCTCTCTTATCACCCTTCTAAGCAGAAGTAAAATGTGTCAGATGCACAGAAGTAACATGTGTTACATACATACACAGAAGTAATATGTGTCATCCTCAGAAGTAGAATTTGTCATTCACAGAATAATATTGTGTAGAGTAGATTGCAACACATACACAGAACTTAAATGTGTAATATCCACAGTACTCCAATGTGTCATGCACACAGAAGCAAAATGTCTCATGCACACAGAAGCAAAACATCTCATGCACAAAAAAGCAAAATGTCTCATGCACACAGAAGCAAAATGTGTCACATGCTTTGAAGTAAAATATATCACATGCTTTGAAGTAAAATGTGTCATACACAGAAGCAAAATGTGTCATGCACACAGAAGCAAAATGTGACCTACACTGAAGTAAACTGTGTCATACACAGAAGTATAATGTGTAATATCCACAGTACTCCAATGTGTCATGCACACAGAAGCAAAATGTGTCACATGCTTTGAAGTAAAATATATCACATGCTTTGAAGTAAAATGTGTCATACACAGAAGTAAAATGTGTCATACACTGAAGTAAAATGTGACATACACTGAAATAAAATGTGACATACACTGAAGTAAAATGTGTCATACACAGAAGTAAAATGTGTCATGCACACAGAAGCAAAATGTGTCACATTCTTTGAAGTAAAATATATCACATACACAGAAATAAAATGTGACATCCACTGAAATTAAATGTGTCATACACAGAAGTAAAATGTGTCATACACTGAAGTAAAATGTGACATACACTGAAATAAAATGTGTCATACACTGAAGTAAAATGTGTCATAGACAGAAGTAAAATGTGTCATACGCTGAAATAAAATGTGACATATAACAGAAGTGAAATGTGTCATACGCTGAAATAAAATGTGACATATAACAGAAGTAAAATGTGTCATACACTGAAGTGAAATGTGACATACACTGAAATAAAATGTGTCATACACTGAAGTGAAATGTGTCATACACTGAAGTGAAATGTGACATACACTGAAGTAAGATGTGTCATACACTGAAGTAAAATGTTTCATACACTGAAGTAAAATGTGACATACGCAGAAGTAAAATGTGTCATACACTGAAGTGAAATGTGTCATACACTGAAGTGAAATGTGTCATACACTGAAGTGAAATGAGACATACACAGAAGTAAAATGTGACGTACACTGAAGTAAAATATGATGCATCACATTTAATGTTATCATGGAAGCTATATATCAAGTGATAAGGAAATGTTATGAACTTTTTGATGTGACATACACTGAAGTAAAATGTGTCATACACAGAAGTAAAATGTGTCATACACAAAAATAAAATGTGTGAAGTGAACTGAAGTGAACTGTGTACTCATACACTGGAGTAAAATATGTCACAAATAAATTCTTCAGTAACAAAATCCAAAAATCCTACACAAAACCATACCCTACCCTATACTGAAGTAAATGTTTCAGATATCCCCTACACTGAAGTAAATGATTCTGATATCCCTATACTGAAGTAATACATGTAAATGATTCAGATATTCTCTACACTGAAGTATATGTTTCCTATATCCTCTACACTGAAGTAAATGTATTAGAAATGGTCTGCACAAAGGAAAATGTTTCAGACACGGTCTACAGATAGGTAAATGTTTCAGACATTGTCTTCACAGTAGTAAATGTTTCAGACATTGTCTACACAGAAGAAAATGTTTCAGGCATAGTCTACACAGAATTAAATGTTTCAGACATTGTCTACACAGAAGTAAATGTTTCAGACATTGTCTTCACAGAAGTAAATGTTTCAGGCATAGTCTACACAGAAGTTAATGTTTCAGACATCATCCACAAACTCCAGTCCCAGGAACAGTGTGTCGGTGGATCAGGTCAGCTGCCGTCTCCTGAGTCAGATTGACAAGATGCTGACAGAGAGAGAGTTCATGAAGAAAGATATGACAGCTGTTATCCTTTCCCGAGATCGAGCTGTAGCTGAGGTAGTGCTACCTATCTTTGAATAAGTAGCCCTGCTTATTTCGTGTGTCATCATTGCTATCATGTCAACTTAGTTCACATGTTAAACCTGTTGGTTTTGGAATCATTATAATTCCAACTTTTATCTTTGGTAAAGGATTTATCACTTATAAAGATTTATCGATAATATACTCATGCCAAAAGAAACACGAATACCATACATGTTGTTAATATGTTGAATAATTACACATATTCAAGAGAGATTAAATTGGTTTGATGCACAAACGAACATACTGGTATGTTGTGTGAACAGTAGCTCATGAATGCATCACATGTGACGTCATAGATCCATGACTCAAGATGCACCATTTGTCTTGTGCATGATTAGTGTGTAAAGTTTGGAAATCGCATACAACATATCGTGATAAGAATAATGACACTCTGTGGTAACACTTGACTGATTGTTAGTTTTGTCATTAATTGGTACACATTGGAAACATCCTTTCTTAACGTACGTACTTCTCTATATGTTTCTATGGTTGCATTTCTAGTGGCGGTGAGAATATGTATATTGATGATAAGTCTTATGGTAGAGGAGGCAAACTGAATATAAAGACAAAATGATAGATTATAGATACTATAGATTGGAATATTGCCTGTAAACCTGTATTTTGCCATAATTTAATAACTAAGTAACTACAAAGTAGATATTATTTGTCACCCAAATAGGTAATGGGAGTATTTAAATCCCAGATGAGCTATATTTGATGAACATCATTTCAAATATCTTTGGACAATAGTGTGGTGGGATAGTGGTTAATGCATTTCATCTTGGCTGAAAGCCAGGGTTGATTCCCAACATGGGTACAGTGAGTGAAGCCAGTGTCACATACCTGTTGTCATATTGCTAAAGATTTACAAAGTCCTTGACACTTACTAATGTGTAATATATGTAATGTTGCAGCGGAGGAAGATGGAACGTGAGTTGCGCCAATATCGGGAGAATGTGGCAGGCTTCAGGGAAGACCAGCACGCTCTATGGGTAGGTTGTGTCCTATGAGGTGGAGCTGCTATTAGTCTGTTTCCAACTGTTGTATGCCAACAGTGGGAGGATCTGGCAGGGTTGGGAGGGGACTGGCAGCTCTATGGGTAGGTTGTGTCCTATGAGGTGGAGGTGCTATTAGTCTGTTTCCAACTGTTGTATGCCAACAGTGGGAGGATCTGGCAGGGTTGGGAGGGGACTGGCAGCTCTATGGGTAGGTTGTGTCCTATGAGGTGGAGGTGCTATTAGTCTGTTTCCAACTGTTGTATGCCAACAGTGGGAGGATCTGGCAGGGTTGGGAGATGACTGGCAGCTCGATTGATAGGTTGTTTTCCTATGAGGTTGATCTGCTATTATTCTATGTTGTATGCCAACAGTGGGAGGGTCTGGCAGGGTTGGGAGATGACTGGCAGCTCTATGGGTAGGTTGTGTCCTATGTGGTGGAGCTGCTATTAAAAATGCCATGAAAAATAATGTTACCATTATTACAGCTAAAATGGATAGAATTCTAGCAGATCCCAAAGTGAACAAAACAACAATTAGCAGCGTAAGTCTAGTGGCGGTGTTAAATCCTCACAATGGAGGATTCTGATAATGATGAACGTTATGTAAGACGATGTCACAAACAAGAAACGTAATGCCAATGACATTACATAACAGTAACACAGACCCGACCCAGTCATTGGAGAAATGTGGGCTGCTATCAAGTAACAGTGGCCCACACATTTCTGAAAACATGCTGGCATTTTTAGGATAATTCTATCCATTTTAGCTATAATATACTATATTAGTGATTGGGAAAGCTCATATCTTTACTGTACAATGAAAAGGTAAGGCTATGAAACACATTGGTCTTCAGAAAACATCTTTTAATTGTTTATTTGTTTGTTTTCTGTTTTTAACTCTGCACTCAGCAATATTCCAGCTATGCGACGTCAGTCTGTAAATAATCAAATCTGGACCAGACAATTCAGTGATTGACATCATAAGCATCGATCAGCGCAATTGGATACGATGACATGCATCAAGCAAGTCAGCAAGCCTGACCACCCGGTCCTCTTAGTCGCCTCTTACAACAAGCATGGGTCTGCTTTCTTTTAAATTTGATGCACAAACACAAGTCAATGGGAAATTACGGAAACCTTCTTGAACATGTTACATGATCACTGTAGAGAGATGTTCAGCATATCAGTTGATGGGTTCCTTCGCCATGATTCATCATTGTAATTTATAAGCTGTAGTGCAGGCGACATTGTGGAAGATAGGCAGGAGTCAAGGAATGCAATACTGTTGAAGATGGGTTAGACTCAATAAAATTGTTAGGTCACCAACAGTCACCCATTTGTTACATAGTGTAACCTGTTCATTGTGTTGCATTGTTTTATTTGTTTGTTTGCTGTTTAATGGTGCACTCAGCAATATTCCAGCTATATGACAGTAGTGTGTAAATAATTGAGTCTGGACTAGACAGTCCAGTGATTGACATCATGAGCATCGATCCATGCAATTGGGATACAATGACATGCATCAACCAAGTCAGCAAGCGTGACCACCCGGTCCTCTTAGTAACCTCTTACGGCAAGCATGGGTTGCTGAAGACCTGGATCTTCCCAAGTCATGTATCTTGGTACCCTCATGGCATGGATCATTGGTTGCACTGGTTTGCCTGGTCCAGATGTGGTACAACTACAGGCAGCAGTGATATCTGTAGCTGGATATAGGAAAATGAACCTTCAAAGAGTGAAGGCATTTTGTAACCTCAGTGGTTTTGTATTTCCTCCATGATGGTTCATAGTTCAATGAACACCCATGAAACAAAAGTCAGTTCCGTGTTTGCACCACATTTTCTGAACACAGTGAAACTAATTTTTAGCTCACCTGGCTGAATGTCTAGCCATCACCGCAAGATGTCTGTCTATCTTTTTCAACATTTTCAACATCTTTTCTGAAAATACCAGGCATATAGAGCTGAAACTTTGTATGAAAGATCCCAGCTTTGGTGTCTCTACAAAGAGCTCAAAGACTTCTGATCCGACTTTAAACATGGCTGCCATTCTTTCAGACAAGCTGCAGAGCCTTGTAGGTCTGTTTTGTTCATGTTTTCTTTCTTTTGAAAACCAGACACAGGACTCTGTCTTGGGTAACTAAATAAACCTAACCATGTTGTGGTGACTCACTAAAGCTAAAAAGTTACTAATCTTACCTATTCCACTTTGTGATCAACTATTTAGCAGCAGCCAAAGAAGTTCAGGATTTTCTCCATTTCACCAATGTCTCAGTTTTTTTCTCAGTTTAAATTACAGCTGGATGAGTTGCAAGATGAATTCAATCCTGAAAATATGACCAGTTTGATTAATGAAAATAATTAATTTGTAGGAAGCTGAAAATAAGTGAAATGGAAGAAACAAGCTGACAGAGGAGTAATCCCAATCAGCTTGTACAAGCGCGTTCAGCATCACAAAGTATATCTCCAGTTCAAACATTTTCCCCATATCCAGCTGTTGTGAACACTGGGCTGCAGTTGAAAAACTGCAAATGAACTGTTTGTAACACATGTTTACCTAGAAGACCCTAATTAGTGCATTTTGCTTCAACCAGACCGTAATTAATTCTGGCCCACTGCTCCAGCACTGTGGTTCTTCTGCAACTCCCAAGATAAACTTTGTAATGCATGGAAAGATTTCCTTCACTGAATTTGACATAATATTTGTCTCTTTTTTAAGTAACTGGGGGAGTGGTGAAGACAGTAATTAAATATTGATTTTGGACAAGATGTTGGGAAAAAAGGCATGATTTGTATTTAATGCCAGAAATGTTTAAATATGGACAGAATTTTGAATATTGCTTTTTGTAAGTTCATATCTAAAGTGATTTAAATGATTCAGCAGACCTTCTTATGATAAGGCACCCTTTTTCATGAAATATGATATTAACCATTTTTGACAGAAAATATCGAAATGAATCAGAGTTTGCTATATCATAATTTTATAGAAGGAAGTCTATAATTTTCAAAGAAGAGACATATTCATTCCAAATCTCAAATTTGAAGAAAATAATTATTTTAGAAGATAATAAATTCATTGTGCCAGAAATTAATATTACCACATTTATGTAACAAAGCAGAACAATTTGACAGGAGATATTGTATTTGGAGTTCTCATTTTCACCTGGCATTTTGTGTGAGCCTCAAATCTTGCCTTGAGTCCACTTCAAACAATGCTTGTTCAATGCAGTCTCGGAGGGAATTCCCCATCAAAGGAAGACTAGGCTTAAGGGCTTGACCCTGAGATCTGCTCACATACACACACAGGCCTAACACGCTGGCTCCCCAGCCCTATACACAGACCTGCTAGACTTGACAAATTGTAGCAGTATTAGTTGAGTATATTTCAGTGTCCCGGAAATACCCGCAATTTAAGTTTGAGTTTGATTCTGTCTTACATAGTTCCTGTTGTAGTTAAGTAAGTGTGAAAAGGCTGGTGCGTGGAGTGCAGATGTGTGTGTCGGAGACGCTGTGTTGTTCTCACCAGATTGACGGCACAGATCCCTCAGATTTTCTTGATGGTGGTGAGTTTAAATATACTGGCATACAGGTTCATTGATTGTGTATGGAGCTGGTGGATTAGATTGGGGAATTATCCTTGCAGCCTGACAGCAAATAAAGCCAGAGAAATATTGTTGGCTGAAAAAGGCCCTAATTACTGTGCCTATCCTAGTACCTTTGATTAACTCCTTATAAGTAGTGTGAATGCTTGTTAACTCAAATTCTATTCACTATTATGTTACATTAAGTTCCCAGCGAAATCCTTATCAACACTTTGGCTTAATATTGGCTCTCTGCTAGGGATAACTTGAAAATGTTTTAATGATCAGGATTCAATTTAGCAAGGTTAATTAAGTATAAAATGATTTAATCTTTGTTTGATAATAATAAAAAAGGTATGTACTAATACAATACCAGCATTATTCATAGCCTTGTATTTCCAATCAGATTTTCTGCACTGATCCACAAAGTGTAATATATATTACACAAGAGAAGTTAAAGAACACCCGATTCTTTCATATTACCGTTGTTATTCTGTCACTTACCCTTTCAGTGCTAAATCAATTAAATGTATTTGATTTCAATTTATTACTTGCTATTTTTTTTAATTTAATGTAACCTGAATTTGACAAAAAACAACATTTAAACATTTTTAGCAAGAGATGAAACTAAGATGTATCTTTGAAAAACAAAAACTTACATTTGAACCAAACAAAATTCATGCAAATTGGGCATCATATCATATACTTTTTGAAGACAAAAGCTGTGCCCTTGAATACCTTGACCTGTAAGTCATATTTTTACTTCAGTCTTGTTATGTGTTCTATGTTTATATGAAGTGTTAAGCAGTACGGAATGAATGAAGTGCTGTATAGATAGTTATATAGAAAGTGGGAAACAAGTCAGAATCTGTGTTCATATGGTTATTTCTTATGCAGAAAGAGGGTTTTTTACAGAAAAAAATTATGTCAACATCTCATATGTTTCTTTTGCTGTAAATTTGGTATGAAACATTGAGGGCAATATTTCCATTTTTTCACTGAGATGAATTATTTATATATATCATCATTGCAAAATACAATAAATGTAATGACTGTTAATCTGGCAGTTTTAGTTTTGAATGTTTGCCTTGCATAAGATTACTATATTAATTTGGGTGTAGATCAAATAATATTAGCAAATCCTGGTCGTAAGAGGTGGTTTGATGGATTGGGGTCAGGCGCAGTGACTCTGTTGCATGGCTTTGTACCTTGTTGGCATGGAATATTGCTCATAATATCAATCACTGGTTTCTTTGGTCCAAGTACTGGTATGGCAAGGAACAGATGAACAAAGTTTGCAAAATATTACGTGAAATAATAATCATTTACTAAAGGGCACAGTATGCTCAGTCAATTAGAGAGCAGGGTATCTTTTTAAAAAATATATAACGTCAACGCCTGAGAATAACCAGTCT